GGTTTAGGGTTAACCCTAAACCCTAGACCCTAAACCGTTACTTTAGGGTTTAGGGTTTAGGGTTTAAGGGACTTGAACGGTGGTCCATGAAGGTCCTGAGGGTTTCGAGTCAGAGTGCCAGAAGGGGGAGATTCGTGGTCGAGCTCTAAGGCCCGAGCCCAAACTCAAATTCCTCAGACTCCAGACCCCGAAGCCGAAGCCCTAGACTCCCAAAGGCTCCACCGGGGACATTATGGCTTGATTTCTGAGCTAGCTTCCCGCCTTTTTTGGGATGTGCAGCATGTGGAGAAGAGGAGCACAAAGCGGACCTGGGTTTCAGAAGCTGCTCAAGCTGTTGCCTTCAGTCTTGGGGTCCGGGTTTGTGGTTTTCTAGAGTTCTATGAGTGAATCCTATGGTACCATGACGATACCACACAGGAATGTAGGCTCCTGTCCGGGTAGAGGGGTTCGATCTTCTTTGGGACAGCAGCGACTGTGCGAGCCGCGCAGCAGGCGGTTTTGGTGCGCCATGATTACGTCTCAGGACAACTCGAAAACAGTGGACAACCCTAAACCCTAAACTAGCCATCGGAGTCAGGACTTGGGGTTCCGGGTTCAGTTGGGGTTTTTTGGTTTAGGGTTTAGTTGGTCCAGTGTGTCGGGTTTAGGGGTTTCGGGTTTAGGGCTTAGGGTTTAGGGCTTAGGGTTTAGGGTGTGGGGTTTAGGGTTTGAAGTTGGGGTTTAGGGTTTGGGGTCTAGGGTTTAGGGTTTAGGGTTTTCGGGTTCGGGGTGCATGTTCTTGAGAGAAGCTAAGGAGCCGCGACCACGACAAGGGTGCCGATGCTCGGGCAGCCTTACATCCCTAGAGTCCCTGAGCCCTTTTGGATTTAGGGTTTGGGGTTTAGGTTTATGGTTTAGGGTTTAAGGTTTGGGGTTCAGGGTTTGGGGTTTAGAGTTTGTGGTTTAGGGTTTGGGGTTTAGGGTTTAGGGTTTAAGGTTTGGGGTTGAGGGTTTGGGGTTTACAGTTCAGGGTTTGGGGTTCAGGGTTCAGGGCGGTTTAGGGCCCTGGAGCCTTGCAAACCGAAGACCCAAAGCCCCTAACAACACGAAGACCCGGAGCCCGAATCCGGGCTAAACCCTAAACCCTAAACCTTAAACCTCAGCCAGAGTGGCATTCCTGACTCCTTCTGGGCAGACGGAAAAGAGGTGTTAAAAAAAAACACAACCTTAAACCTTAAACCCTAAATCTTAATCCCTAAACCCTAAACCTTAAACCCTAAACCCTAAAGCTTTCGTTAGATTTGCTCGGGGTATTGGAGAGTAGCCCAATGCCTGGTTAGTTCCATGGTTCAGGGGCGACCAGGGTTCTGCCCAGGCGTTTATGGGTTCTGGCGTCGCGCCGGCAGGATTTTCTTGAGCTCTGCGAGTTCCGGCTGGTGGAGTCTTAGGGGCGACTCGTAAGAAGCACGGGAGGTGTAACCGGGGTGTAACGATCAGGACATGTAGCAAACACAGCACAAACGGAATGCTGTGAAGCAGAAGTACTGTAGTTCTACTGTGTCTTTCGGGGTGCTGCCGTGAAACACCGCGTGCTTGACGAGTTCATGTCTTTCAGGTTGTCGTGCTCATGTAGATTCCACTCCAACAGAGCCCTGACAGACAGTTCTCTCGGGTTTGGGGTCTGGGGCCGGTTGGTGTAGGGTCAGCCGTCTGCCCGAGGACATCAACGACTTCTCGCTGGCGAAGCGTGCGCGCGACGAGTTACGATTCCTGGGCTCCGGGGAGGTGGTAAACTCGCTTTATGGGGAGCCCGTGAGCAACATCTTGCCGCTGGTCCCGGTCCGAGGCTCTCTTAGGAGTTGATTTTTTGTTGGGGTGAGAGGTTTTTTGGGGGTAGGTTTCTGCAAAAAGGCTTCTCTGACGAAAAGAGTTTGGTGAGTGCTATGGCATCGACATCTCAGGTATATTTGGCCGATTCAGATCAATGTGACCGAGGACTCCGAATTTTACCCAGCCTCCGTCGGTCTATCACACCTTTCACACTTCTGGGCTTTTGGCTTTAAGGAAGATGTCCGAGAGCTGCTGACATGCAGCTCATCGGGGCTTCACCGCACTCTATTTAAAGGCCCAGGGCTGGCAGTGGAAGGCGACACACAGCCTCTTCAGTTTGGGTGCAGGAGGAGGCTTATAGGCGGCATGAGGTTGTCAGATCCTACACTGGAATTTGACCTTTCAAAAGGAAAAAACGGCGGCACTCCCACGTCCGGCTCTGATTCTCGGATTTCTCCGGTCTACCTGGGCCCTTACACCTTCAAAGGCCAACCCCTGAGACCCTGGAACCCTGAACCGCTAACCTGGACCTCGACTCTAAGACCGTTAAACCCCTCAATATAATACAATACAATACAATATATTATAAACATAGTATAATATGACATGATATGATATAATATCATATTTGTTGCCTATGCAAAGTGACCGAAGGATCCCGACTATCACCAAACTTTCCCGGCAGCCCTGGCGGAAGCCGAGAATACTGCGGAGGGCCTCTGTAAGTGCGTCTCTCCGCCTGATGCAGGCGGCACGACTTGGTGTAGGGTTTTATGGTTTAGGTATTTTGGGGCGTTAACGGGAGGGGCTATTTTTTAGATTATGACGACGATTCCTGAGATATTACGTTACATCTCCTACTACCTTGTTGGTTATTACTAGTATTCCCACTAAATGATGGTACTAATTTGACTTGAGCTATGACTGTTTCTCTTACTATTCCTGCTGCTGCTGCTACTTCTACTTCTACTACTACTTCTTCTTACTACCGCTGTGCTTTCTCGCACCGCGCCCTGATATCCCCCTGGTCCCTTCCCCTTCCACCCAGAGAACCCAATACCCCTTATTGGGTTCTCCGGGTATCGCTATCACCCTCGAAGCCCTAAACCCTGAATCCCAAAAGCCGAAAGGTGGGGCGGCGCTTCCATATCCGCTTCAACTGCCTGTTTCGTCCGAACGCACGGGTCCATCTGAATGGCGGGACATTTGTCCGGGGAAGGTAATATGACATGAACAGACAAAATGGGGACACTCTATTGAAATCGGCATATGTCACCAGGAGATCCCGAATATGAAGAATATACTTCTTGGAAGACATGATATATTTCATTGTTGACTTTAAATCTCAGATCCAAAATTCATTAGGAGAGATTTATGATTTAATATTGAATTGAAAATTTTCCTTAGATACTATTCATTCATTATATATATATATATTCTTTTTTGAACGATTGAACATATTAGAAATTCGATCTAAATATACAATATATTCGATTTATTCTTGTTATTGGTTGAAATTAATTTTCAATTTTCTTTTTATTTGATAATAGATTCTGAATAATATGATGAATAAATTATACAACAATAGAAATGGCTTCTGATTAAAATCTCGAAGACTATTTATAATAATAATAAATATTTTTTGATTTTTGGTTTCAAGTAAATTAATCTATATAGATATTATGAAGATAAATTTTATTATTATTTTATATTTATTTTATATTTGAAGGAACCTTTTATTTACAAAAACATGAAATTATTGATTCTTGATTATGATTATTCTTTCTAAAATTGATCTACATCTAATTTTCTATTAAATGATATTTAGTGATTTCTGTTAAAATATTTGCATAATTTCTAATTACTATATTATGAATAAAGATATAATGATGATGAAAAGATATTAATATATTGAAAATATAAATATGAGCTGAATGAAATTCAAAATCAAAATTCAATTCTGAAAACATAAAAATCATAATTCATCTATGCAATATATTCTCTAATTATTGATCACTTGAATGTCAAATAAAAGATATCTTTTCGTATTTTCTAATTTGTCACATTTCTTCTTATATTTGGACTTCATGAACTATATATCTTTTTGTTTGATGAGAGAATGAAACATGAGTTCTAGATTCTGAGGGAGAATAAGAGATGAAAAGCTAAATTTAGAAGATCGATACGGGGAATGACTCCGAAGAAAATATTTTGATTTCATTTCTCTTTTTTTTCACTCTATCCTTGCTCTCAATATAATAAAGAGAGATATGAATGATAGAAAGGAAAGATCTAAAATTGACTGATTGAGAATAAGAAACATCACATATTAGATTTCAGGATCTGAAATCATTTTGCAAAAAAAAACTAAAATCAATTTTTTGATATGGGGAGAATTTAAGATCTTCTTATATCAGATATAAAAATCATTTTCATTTCAAAAAATAATGATATATTTCAAATTTCGAATCAAATAATATTTTTAATTGATAAATATCAAATTATATCAAATAATATTTTTCATATATCTTCATTTTAATTCTAAAAATTCTATATTATATTGGAAATAGATTTGAATTTTGAGAAAATATCATTTCTTTTTTCAATATAATATTTATCATATAAAATATATTTC